GGGATTACAGGCGTGAGCCATTGCACCTGGTCACTACCTCGTGATCCACCTACCTTGGCCTCCCCAAAGTGCTGAGATTACAGGTGTGAGCCACCATGCCTGGCTGGTAAAATGACTTTTTTAAACAACAGTTTCTGAAACACTTATTCTATTTTATAGAATGAAGTGTTGACCCATTTAAAAAAAATGAAAAAAAATTTTTTTATGTAAATAGTCCCTAGAAAGGGATCCTTATGACGGAGTTCAGTAAGCATACCTAAAATAACACTGATTCAAGAACAATGGTTTTAGGATATTAAAGTCTTATAATCTATACTAATAGAAGGCAGCAACAGGCACAGGGAATTAATTTTACACTTTAATAAAATACACCTTTTGATTAACAAATTTAAAAGTTAGACTTCATTGCTTAGGATAATGTTAAAATCTGTTTGCTACTGCTGTATACACAATTATTTTAAGGAGTAGGATGGAGGCTCAGAAGCAGGCTAGGTGACAACAAAGAAACAATCTGGATTAAAAATTTGCACCGGAGTCACTTGCAAATAATCAAGAACTCAGGTGTGGAGTCGTGTCCTATAAAGGGTCATCTTCAATTTAGTTCACAGGACATTTATTGAGTACTTACTATGTAACAGACACTGTGCTAGGTGGTAGGTGAAAAAAGGGGCTCCTGAAGAACTACCAGTCTAGAGATGTAGTGCTGTTCTTGTTCCTGAAAAAAGTAGTGTGACACACTAGCCAGGGGAAAAATAAGTACCTAAAGTTTATTTTGTCAGCATGCTTTTAGCCTTATCAAATCATTCTTGCTCAAAAAGAAGATTGAATTAGGATCCCCTCAGGGCCTGGGAAAGACCAGAGCAGAGGCAAGGACTGGAGAGAAAATAACCTGGAATTCTGATGTCAAAGGAAAATTTTCAGTGTTTCACTTTACATTTTGGGGGCTTGATCTGTGGTGCAACTGTCCTGCTAAAATCCGGGCATATTTATTTCAGATGGAGAGCTGTTAATTGCAAGTCATGTTCTCACTAGCTACTCATGAACTTAATTTTACTTTTTTAAGTTTCTTCTTTGAAAAAGCAAACTTACTTCCGATCTAAAATGGTAATTGGTTTCAGATCTGTTTTGACTATTTGATTAGTGAAATCAATTTGACTAATTTAAGATATGTCTGCCTGTGAGCAGAGACTGTGCCACTGTACTCCAGCCTGGGCAACAGAGTGAGACTCTATCTCAAAAAATTAAAAAAAAGAAAAGATATGTCTGCTTGATTATAATAATCAAGGGACAAAAGTTTCTTTCACCCATATTCATATATTTTGGTATTTATTACGCATGTTCTTATTGTGTTGGGTACTCATTTAACTGTTCATTTAGCTTTCTCAAATTGTAAAGATAGCTAAGATTATTGAACCCTTTTAATCCATTATATTCAATGAACCAGTAGAGTATGATATTTAATATCTGGTAATTACTTTATTCCCTGCCTTGTTTTGGTTTTGTTGATCTATTCATTCATTCCACAGTTGTTTACTGAGTGTCTATGCTGTGCCAGGCACTATTCTAGGTATTGGGTGTGTTACTTGCCCAAAGTAATATAAAACTAACAGGCAGATAGAACTATAAATTAGTTTCCTTATTCCTAAGTTTAAGATACAAAATTTTCTATTGAGAGTTAAAAATGCTATTTATGTTCCCAAGTGAAAAAGTATTAGAAATTTGAGTAAATCACCCAATATAAACTTTGTGGATAATTTTTATTTCTATTGTTTTTAAAGATAACATATTTTAAAGCTCAGGTATAAGAACTAAATGGATTTCATGAAAAGATACCATATTTAACATTAAGTTTTCATATATATTATTATTATTTTTTTGAGACGGAGTTTCGCTCTTGTTAACCAGGCTGGAGTGCAATGGCGCGATCTCGGCTCACCGCAACCTCCGCCTCCTGGGTTCAGGCAATTCTCCTGCCTCAGCCTCCTGAGTAGCTGGGACTACAGGCACACGCCACCATGCCCAGCTAAATTTTTGGGATTTTTAGTAGAGACGGGGTTTCACCATGTTGACCAGGATGGTCTTGATCTCTTGACCTCATGATCCACCCACCTCGGCCTCCCAAAGTGCTGGGATTACAGGCTTGAGCCACCGCGCCCGGCCTATATATTCTGTTTTTTGAACTCACTTACATTTTAAAGGTAATTCATCCAAAGTTTATTTGCAAATGTGTTTTGATTTTCTTCCATCATGTTTCCTCTATATATTTCATAATAAAATAGAAACATATTATATAACTTAAGAATTTAAGTATTCTTCCTGACCTATATATTTTTGGTGGATCAAATACAATTATCTTCTACTTCAGAATATAAATTTTATCTATTCTTCCTAAGTCATCACATCAGGGAGAGAAATGTATTGAAACACTCAGATTATCACAAGGTAGGTCTATGACAGCATGCCAAAAATAAAATTAAAATCCCAGTGAGTTATAGACCAGGGTTTTCTTTCTTGTTGGTTATGCCAGTAGTATCTTTCTTCTAATTCTGGGTGCCTATCTGAAAAGTCCTGGAGCAAGGATACAACTGAATTACTCTTCTTTTGTTCCCTATACCCATACAGTCCCAGGGGTAAAAGAAAGGAAAGTGCCAGACCTGTCAGCACTCATAATTGCTCCCTCTGAAAAGACAGCCCAGCAAAATATTTTTTACTCTTCAAATATATGATCACTTGCCCATGTTGAAAGGATACCAGCCAGCAATGCTGATCTCTTGGTAGATTTCTGCATCTGTCTGATATCTCTATTTTCCTCAAATTGTTCCCATGGCTTCCTGATAATCTGGGTCCTTTGCTGTCTCTCTGGTCCAGATGCATTGTCCACATAGCACACCAGCCATAGCTCCTATGGCCTTCCCCTTTTCCTTGAACATACAAATCTCTCTCTGTCTCAGTGCTCTTGTACTTGTTGCTTTCTGACTCATCCCCATCTCTTACCCCAGCTGGCTAGCTTCAATTTGTTTTTGAAATTTCTCCTTAAATGTCACCCCATCAGGTAGGCTTTCCTTATTCCTTGCTAGAGCAAGTCCTCCTCGTACCCAAAGCAAGTTTCTTTCTTTTTTGTTTTTCGAGACGGAGTCTCGCTCTGTCACCCAGGCTGGAGTGCAATGGCGCAATCTCAGCTCATTGCAACCTCCACCTCCTGGGTTCAAGCAATTCTCTTGCCTCAGCCTCCTGAGCAGCTGGGATTACATGTGCATGCCACCATGCCTGGCTATTTTTTGTATTTTTAGTAGAGACAGGGTTTTGCCATGTTGGCCAGGCTGATCTCAAACTCCTGACCTCAAGTGATCTACCTGCCTTGGCCTCCCAAAGGGCTGGATTACAGGTGTGAGCCATCACACCTGGGTACAAGTTTCATAATTACATATTATATATAGTTATTTCTGTGTTTACTTGCTTAATCTCCCCTGCAGATAATAAGCTCCATGCAGGTACAATGTCTGCTTCATTTCCTCTGTATCTGCAGGGTCTACCATATTTCCTGGCACGTAGTAGAGCCCCTCCCACCTCCAACGTATTTGTTGAATAAATAAGTTAACTGGTTCCAGAAAATAAACATGTATCCCCTACTATTCATGACCAAGCACCAATATATTTTTTCCTACCTATCCTCTTCTCCTTTTTCTTCTAAGAAAAAAGTACAACAGACAGGAGTGAAAACAATTCTTAAATGTGCTCTCTTACTGGAGTTAGAATGTGATCACTGCCACTCATTAAAACAAGTACATACATTCCTTACATATATTTAATCATAATGTATTTCCACTTATGAATCATCATAGCCTTGTATGAAATGAGGATCTTTAATTGGAAGAGAATACAAAAATAAAAAACAGAATAATTAATTCAAAAGTCAGAATTTAAGGTTGGCTATGGTGGCTAATGCCTGTAACCCCAGGTATGGGAAGCCAAGGTGAAAGTACTGTTCGAGGCCAGGAGTTCAAGACCAGCTTCAACATAGTGAGACTCCCATCTCTACAAAAAAATTTTAAAAACTAGTCAGGTATGGAGGCACACACCAGTAGTCCTACTTAGTTGAGAGGCTGAGCGGGGAGAACGGCTTGAGCCAGGAGTTTGAGGTTATAATGCACTATGATCATACCACTGCACTCCAGCCTGGGTGACAGAAGGAGACCCTATCATGATGCTTTTGTCATTGTGCGTCATGATAAAAAATAAAAAAATATTTAAGCTGGTAGAGAGCTAGCCTTAGAAGAACTATAAATAATCAATCCAAGAAATGGTAGAAAAGAGTAGAAATAGGTTCTAAAACAAATAGTATGCTGGGAATAAAGATTAAGAAACATACTTTTTTTTTGAGCGTGAGTTTCGCTCTTGTCACCTGGGCTGGAGAGCAGTGGTGTGACATAGGCTCACTGCAACTTCTACATCTCTGGTTCAAGCAATTCTCCTGCCTCAGCCTCCCAAGTAGCTGGGATTACAGGCATGCACCACCATGCCTGGCTAATTTTATTTTTTGCATTTTTAGTAGAGATGGGCTTTCACCATGTTGGTCAGGCTGGTCTCGAACTCCTGACCTCATGATCTGCCCACCTTGGCCTCCCAAAATGCTGGGATTACAGGCATGAGCCACCTCGCCTGGCTAAGAGAATACTTCTAAAAGGGAACAACCAACATGTTATGCTCAGGAAGGCTTGAAGGTCTACAGTATTAAGGTTATTGGTTTAGAGAAGGACTTAGCAAATTCTTCAACTTACTTATTGATGATGAAGGACATCAGAGAGATGAAGAAATAGGCACAGATGTAGCCTCTGTAATTCTTTGTTACTTTTTGACCGTAAGAAAACTGTCATGTGCTGAGTCTAGTCCCACTCTGTAGTTACAAAAAGGTAACGGGAACATCTGGAAGCTAAGTGACTTGAACTGGACTCACTAGGATTGACAAAGCCCAGCTTTGTGGAGGGTATCGTGAAACCTACCTTCTTGGGCACAACAGAGGAGCTGGAATTTATTGTGCTTTCGTCATCGTGCATCATGACAAGTTCAGAGCTGCTCTCGTCCGTGACCTCCTGCATGCTGTTCACACTGCTGCTCTGGCTGCCCGTGCTCACAGACATGCTTGGAATGGAATGGTTGCTGCCCAGGCTGTCCATTTCCCTCATCAGGTTGGTTCCATGTTCACTGTCCTATAAAAATGGGGCACTGAGCTTAGAAAAAGAGACTGGAGACAAAGAGCCAATCCATTGACTAAAGTATCAAGCACACTCAATTTTGCAGTGTGAAATTACTTTTTTGCCAATCTGCAAAGATGAACTTTTTCAATGTACTGGCTCCACTACTCCCTCACCATCTTCAGACATCTCAAATTCGCTTCCTATGCCTTCCCCAGGGGCTGTTCTGGACAAGGGTCATAAGGCTCCAAATGCTGCCATCCCAGGGCTTTCCCCTGTCATACACTACCATCATATTATCATATTGCTATTCAGTAAGCAAAATCAAGCCAGGTTTGTAAGTGATCTTCTGGAACATCAAGGAGCTAGAGGAAGACTGCTGGCCACTAAAGAGGTGAGCTCTAGGATATCTGCAAATACAGCAGTGGTCACTTGAAAAAGTAAAGTGGAAAGAGTTTTCAGAGATTTGACAAGTAACATGCTCCCTCTGCAAGTCATTATTGAGTAACTTCATATCTAAGCAGGAATATTAATTCTACTGTCTTCGACAGGTAATTAAATTCTGCCTCCCTCAAGCAATTCTATCATGCTTATCTCTGTAATCTTATTAAATATATTTGTTAAATAATACTGGTATTCATCACTACTGGCCCAAAGACTACTATTTGAAAAGTGGTAAAATAACCAGAACATATAATTTATCTACCACAGTGGGATATCTTTTGATATAAGATTGAATAATATAATTAAATCAATTTAGCTACAAATAAACCCTATTCTCAAACAACCATACTGTACACATATAACTTTAATAAACTCTTACTTAGCCATGGCAATATAAAAAATTACTGAGTAACATTAAATGGTGGATAATACGTTATATTTTTAACAGATTTATTTTCCAAATTAAAGGGGATCATTTCTATATATGCAATCAAGAAATTTTATAGTTCAGTGCAACTTTCTGAGCTTTGTTTTTAGAATTATTGATAAAATATTTGTATGTTTATTTTAGTTTCTATGAAAAAGCTAAAATGCATTCATTCTTCATTCTTTTCTTCCTTTGTATTTCACTTTAGAGGAAGAAGAGTTCTTTCTCTTATTCAAGGCTAATTCTTCCACTAATACTCTTGTTCCTATTCTGTCTCTGTTCTGAAATCCTGCTTCTTTAACGCTATCTCTTTCTTCTATCTTCAGTGCATCTGACTCTGCCCTGGCTCCATCTCTACTGCATTGAAAGATGAAGAAGCCTGCCTCATAGTTATGGACTTCTCTACATGCTGCCTTCTCTTACTTTTCCTTCTTAACCCAATTTCTGAATCTTAAAATAATTACTTTTTTTGCTGTCTCCACCTAATCAACTCCCATGAATTATACAAACCTAGTAATCTACTATTCATTCTACCTAGTCCTGTACAACTGCTTGTACTAAGGTCATCAAGGATTCTCTAATTGAAAACTTCCATCTGTATACTATGGTAAGAATATATAATACCAGGACCTTAAACTCAAAAGGCACCAAAGTGAAATTATCCTAAACCTACTCTCCCTGATTCTTTTTCTCTGTTCTTGGTATTGACGTATTCCTAGCCACCCAGGCTCAAATGTTCAGAGTCACCTTAAATTCCTCCTCATCTGTCACTGTCAATCAATGAGAAGCCATGGATTATCAAACCTGTCCCTATAATGTTTCTCAAAAGTATTCCCTTTTTCCCCATTTGCATCGACACTGCCCTTATTACCTTTTGCATGGATGATTAGCCAGGATGTTGCCCATTCAAATCCATATTACACTCTGTTGCCAGGATAATCTTCCTAAAGCACAACACCTTTCTGAGTCTAGAATATCTTACTATGCCCATTTGTCAGGAACCACCCACATCATGTCCTCCATGTAACCTTCACTAATCCCCACCAGTAGACTTATTTTCTCCCCACGATGGACTCCTGCAATGGGGCTACACCTCTGTAGCACTTTTCATATTCTGCCTTATATAAGTGTTATTTTATGAATGTCTCTTGTACAACGCTTCATGTCTCTTAAGGCAGACAGCATCAATTACTTTTTATCCTCAAAAGTTTTTCACAGTGCCCAGTCCAGGACTTTTTCACATAGTGGGCATTCTATAAGTCCCTGCTAAAATAAATTGAACCTACTTCCTCATCCTCCTGTGACTCATTCAAGGGTCCATTTCGTGTCTCTTGGAAAAGTATTTTTTTCATTTTTCGGTACTGTAGGTTATCTAGCTCACGAACAGCATCTTTTGTCCTCTGTATGAGGTCAATGAGGACACGTAGTGGCCGGTCTCGTCGAACAAAGTCATGCTGATTGAGGGAGGAGAAAAAAATAAACTGATAATGAAGAAACATCCTTAGGTGCAAGGTACAGATATAAAAGGAAATAGAGAATCATAAAATAGTTCTATGGATTTTACAGAAATAACAAAATATGATTTTCATGTCATGTATCCTTCCATATTTCATAAATCTCAAAAAGAGATAACCATGCTTTTTTCTTCTTCCTTAAGCCCCATTTTGTGGATGTGAGAATTCTTTTTAAAAATTGTACACATTTAAAGTATATGGCAAGATGTTTTGATACATATATATATATATAGTGAAATGATTTCTACAGTTAAGCAAATTAACATATCCATTATCTCACATAGTTACTTTTTGGTGGCAAAAGTACCAAAAATCTTTAGTCTTAGCAAATTTCCCAGATATAATACAATATTACCAACCATAATCCCCATTCTGTACACTGGATCTCTACATTTATTTATCCCACAGAACTGAAACTTTGTACCATCTGACCTTTATCTTTCCATTCCCCATCCCTTTCAACCACCTTTTGTTCTGTGTTTTATTCTTTTGTTTAGTTTCCACATATAAGTGAGACTGTATATTATTTTTCTGTCTGTGTCTGGTTTATCTCACTTAGCATAATGTCTTCTGGGTTCACCTGTATTGCTGCAAATGGCAGGACTTCCTTCTTTTTTAAGACTATATATATATAATAAATATTATACATAAATAACATATATTATTCAGTCTTAAGTATATATATCACATATACCATAATTTCTTTTATCCTTTCATCCACTGATGAACACGTAGGCTGTTTCCTTATTTTGACTATTGTGAATAATGCTGTGATGAACATAGGGGCACAGATATTTTTGTGAGGTGCTGACTTCATTTTCTTCAGGTATATAACCAGCAGTGGGATTATGGGAACTAATAACATATATTTTTTTAGGTTTCTGAAGAAACTCCGTATTGTTTTCCACAATGGCAACACCAATCTACATTTCCACCAACAGTGTATAAGGATTCCCTTTTCTCTATTCCCTTGTCACTTATCTCTGACCTTTTTTGATAATAGCCATTCAAACAGGTGGGAGGTGATAACCCATTGTGGTTTTGATTTCCATTTCCCTAATAATTAGTGAATGCTGAGTATCTTTTCATATGAGAATTCTTGAGGTTTACTTATCACAGAAGTAATACAAAATCACTAGAACTTTAAGAAGCAGCAGGTAGGCTTGCACATTTTAAATCTGAAACTATATAATAAACAAAAGCAAGGCAGAGTATAGTCTATTCTTTTTTTTTTTTCTTGAGATGGAGTCTTGCTGTGTCACCTAGGCTGGAGTGCAGTGGTGTGATCTTGGCTCACTGCAAACTCTGCCTCCTGGGTTCAAGCGATTCTCCTGACTCAGCCTCCCGAGTAGCTGGGATTTCAGGCATGCACTACCATGCGTGGCTAATTTTTGTATTTTTAGTAGAGACGAGGTTTCACCATGTTGCCCAGGCTGGTCTTAAACTCCTGACCTCAAGTGATCCACCTACCTCAACCTCCCAAAGTGCTGGGATTATAGACGTGAGCCACTGCACCACACTTTAGTCTGTTCTTATTATAGCTTTCCTCAATCCTCACCCCCCATATACACTATCCCTTGAGAAACAGACTTGTGAATATTTTGTTTTCTATTTCTATGGTTACATAGTATATGCCTGAAAATATGCCAGCTTTTTAATTCATCCAGAGGTCAAAATTCTGGCAACTCCATTTTCCCAATAAGAAAAAGGGTCTCTGAGGAGAGTGAAAATAACTGCCCTAAAGTCCATAAATTCTTGATATAAACATCCCTCACTTTCAATATTATTAATGATTGTTACATAATCTGGTTTCCTGGTTTCTCAGCCCATAGCAGGTTAGAGAGAGAACAAGAGTGGAGAAGTAAAGGGCTGAGAACTGGGAGAGGTAGGGTTACCACCCGTTGTAAAAGGAAGTATCTCTTGTAAGTTGTCTGACAGCCTGAGAGTAGAGAAAGAGAGCAATTTCATGACTAACAGACCTGTCAACCAAACAAATTATAATAAAACAGAGGCTTGTGGGCTATTTTGCCCCTTATACATAGCCCCTTTTATATAATAAGAGTTCATAAAACAGTGTCTCTGAGCCCTCAAGAAGTGACCTTGGACTGGGGGTGGTGGCTCATGCCTATAATCCCAGCCCTTTTGGAGGCCGAGGCAGGCAGATCATTGAGGTCAGAAGTTCGAGACCAGCCTGGCCAACACGGTGAAACCCCATTTCTACTAAAAATACAAAAAATTAGCTGGGCATTGTGGTGCATGCCTGTAATCCCAGCTACTTGGGAGGCTGAAGCAGGAGAATCACTTGAACCTGGGAGCCTGAGGGTGCAGTGAGCTGAGACTGCGCTACAGCACTCCAGCATGAGTGACAGAAAGGGGGGAAAAAAGTGAAAGGAGGAAACTTTTTTTTTAAGGAAAAAGTTCAGTTATGTGGAAAATTTACTTATGTAAAATTATAATTTGAAGACATTGGGAAAATGAGATATAATGTAGTAGGCCTTAGCTGATGAAATGAATTTAATTTCTTTATAATTTAAACAGATAAAAAATAATAGGGCTCTTGTGAGAAAACAATCTATATGTCTTGTGGTTCTGTATTCTGACTCTGCTGTTAGAGGAACTGTGGTTTTTGCTATGGCTTTTATAAAATACCTCTTCCTAGGCAAAGAGTCCTTTCTGAATAAAAAGCACCATTACCAGAAGCAAGTGTAGCCTGCACATGTCAAGGATGAGAAAGAAAGGAAGAAAGTACATAATTTTCCTCCCCCAGTGCTTACAATTATACAAGAGCTAATTGGTTTTTAGTAAACTTAAAGCTATGACTTAACATCGTAGAATTCTGAAATGGGAATGCTTCTAAGAAAATTTTCTGTTTCAAGGCCGAGCATGGTAGCTCATGCCTGTAATCCCAGCACTTTTGGAGGCCAACTGGACAGATCACCTGAGGCTAGGAATTCAAGAGCTGCCTGGCCAACACGTCGAAACCCCGTCTCTATTAAAAATACCAAAATTAGGGGCTGGGTGCAGTGGCTCTCGCCTGTAATCCCAGTATTTGGCAAGGCCAAGGTAGGTGAATCATTTGAGGCCAGGAGTTCACGACCAGCCTGGCCAACATGGTGAAACTCCGTCTCTACTAAAATTACAAAAATTCGCTGGGCGTGTTGGCGTGTGACTGTAGTCCCAGCTACTTAGGAGGCTGAGGCAGGACAAGTGCTTGAACTTGGGAGGTGGAGGCAGTAGTGAGCTGAGATTGCGCCACTGCACTCCAGCCTAGGTGACAGAATGAGACTCTGTTTTTTAAAATAAATAAATAAATAAAAATAAAAATACCAAAATTAGCCAGGTGTGGTAATGCCTGCCTGTAGTTCCAGGTACGTGGGAGGCTGAGGCATGAGAATCACTTGAGCCTGGGAGGTGGGTGTTGCAGTGAGCCAAGATCAGGCCACTGCACTCCAGCCTGGGTGACACAGAAAGACTCAAAAAAAAAAAAAATTTTTTTTTTTTCTTTTTCAAAGTGAGGAAACCTAGGCCCTGAGAAGTCAGGTAATTTCAACAGCTAATTAGTGGAAGAGCTATGGCTGCAACTCAGGCTTTAAAATTTTTTTTCTGCAGGGGTGGGGTGGTGGTGGTGGTGGTGGTGGTATTTTCTTGTGTCCTACTACCATAATTATCTTTCTAAAATACAGGTATGATCATGTCATTCATCATTCACTGCAACAGATACTATGTGCCACTAATCCCCCATTCCAACTTAAAATTTTTTTTTTTTTTTTTGAGATGGAATCTCACCCTATCACCTAGGCTGGAGTGCAGTGGCGCAATCTTGGCTTGCTACAACCTCTGCCTCCTAGGTTCAAGCGTCAACCTCAGCCTCCCCAGTAGGGGCAACCTCAGCCTCCCCAGTAGCTGGGATTACAGGTGTGTGCCACCACACCTGGCTACTTTTTGTATTTTTAGTAGAGACAGTGTTTCACTATGTTGGACAGGCTGGTCTTGAACGCCTGACCTTAGGTGATCCACCCACCTTGGCCTTCCAAAGTGCTGGGATTACAGGCATGAGCCACCACTTTCAGCCCCAACTTTTTTCTTCTTTTATTAAGTCTCTGTTGCCAAAGCTAGAGTGTAGTGATGCAATCTTGGCTCACTGCAACCTCCACCTCCTGGGTTCAAGTTATTCTCCTGCCTCAGCCTCCTGGGTAGCTGGGACTACAGGCATACGCCACCATGCCTGGTTAATTTTTGTATTTTTAGTAGAGATGGGGTTTCACTGTGTTGGTCAGGCTGGTCTTGATCTCCTGACCTCGTGATCTGCCCGCCTCCGCCTCCCAAAGTGCTGGGATTACAGGTGTAATCAGCCACTGTGCCCGGCCTTTTTTGCCTTACTTTAAGCACTGGAGAGTAAAGGAATTGAGCCCAAACCTTCTTTGTGGTTACAAATCACAAAGTGACTAAGTTCTGGCCAATGAGAGGTAGGCAGAAGTTCTTGAGGAAGGCTTTATTCCCAGAATAAAAAGCAAGACACAGGAGGAGAAGGTGTTTTACCCTCCGTTCTCTCCCCTTCTTCCTGGCTGGAATAAATGAGTCTTGGCAATGTGGCAGCCATTTTATGACAAAGACGATATAAGCTACATGCTAAGGATGGTGAAGTAGAAAGAGCGAGCTTGGGTTGGGGGCTGGGCACGGTGGCTCAGGCCTGTAATTCCAGCACTTTTGGAGGCTGAGATAGGTGGATCACAAGTTCAGGAGTTCAAGACCAGCCTGGCCAAGATGGTGAAACCCCATCTCTACTAACAATACAAAAAAATTAGCCAGGCGTGGTGGTGGGCGCCTGTAATCCCAGCTCCTCGGAAGGCTGAGGCAGAGAATTGCTTGAACCCTGCGGAGGTTGCAGTGAGTCGAGATCATGCCATTGCACTCTAGCCTGGCGACAGGGCGAGACTCCA